ATGTTGTCACCTCTGCGGGGGCGTCGGGCTCGCCGGGGTGGGCCTGGCCGCGGGGGCAGCCATTCTCCCCTCGGAGGAACTTCCCTCGCTGCACCGGAGGAGCGTCCCTTGGGCGGGGGGGGGAGGCATGGTGTCGGGGGCCCTCTGACTGGCGTCTGGAAGAAAAGTTTGGAAAAGGAGACTACGGCAGAAGAGGAAAATACGATCAAAGAATGCAGGCAGGGGTCACTAAGGCCGTCGCAGTTGTTAACGCTGGCATTTTCATTTAATAAGTAGCGTGGACAGTGGCCTAGTTCACATAAAATGTAAACGGCTAACAGAGAAGCTCAAAGTTAAGCGGTGACTTGATCGTGGAGTACTGGCCATGTTCACGGAGGAAAGGTTTTTCTCACAGTAATTATAGCCCTGGTTCACATCAAATGTGAATGGTATTTCTGTGGGATAAAGCATGAGTAAAACTAACATGTTGTAACCCTTACTCTCAAAACTATCACATCAGTGGACTTAGTAAGGCTTTGCAAGAAAATAACTATAGTTTTAAATCTGCTTAAATGGGTATGTGTGATGTAAAACATTTGTTCGGAGCAAGGCCAACAATTTCAGTGAAGAACTGTAAATTGCAAACACTCAATTTTCCAGTGCATATAGTTTAAGCAGAAATGTCAATGTTCCTGTCCACAGCAAGATCCATCAAATTATTTATGAAAAAATTACATGTGTTTCTAAATCGGGTGACCGTACTGTATTAACCTAATTAGTTTTTCAGTTAGGTAGTTCATTTTCAGGTTTTAGGGTTTGGTTTTGTAATCTGTGTTACAAAGGAAATTGTATAATTTGGTTGCCTTTCATGGTAAGGAACTATGACCCAGGAGGTTCTTGCAACCTGTATCTCCATTGGCTCTTGATAAGAGGTACACAGAATATTCTGTGGAATGTGACAAATAACACGAAGACTTGATCTGTTTTTAGGATTGGCACTGCTGCCTTGGCAGTTCAGGTGGTTGGTAGCAACTGGCCCAAGCCACATTATACGTTGCTGGTTACGGGCCTCTGCCGATTCCAGATCCTGCAGTTGCTGAAAGAGAAGCCGTATCCTGTTGCTGAAGTTGAACAATTAGATCGACTTGAGCAGTTTACTAATCAGCATAAATCTGAGGAGGAGCTTGGAGAGCTGTCAGAACAATTCTACAAGTATGCAGTGCAGGTAAATTATGTATGATATATTGGTGTATTTATATGTATATTTGGGGGTTTTTTTGTTTGTTTCCTATCTGTCCTTCTCTCTCTCTCTAGTTCTTGTATTTTTACTAGTAGAGTTTCAGTACTTCTGCTACAAAATAAGTATTTTTGTTATAGCTTAAGGTTTCTGTGTGGAGTTCCAAGGTGTCTATACTGCTCATTGCAGGATGAGTCTAACTATGCATGTTAGTGTTATGATAAATTGGTATTATTTAATATATAGCAGTACTTTAAATACACTCTATTAAAAGGAATATTTTTGAATTTTTTTTTTTCCGGAATTCATGATATATACAATGGGTTGATTTTTTGTGAGGTTTGTTTTTTTGTTGTTTTTTTTTTTTTTTAATTATTAAAAGGAGAAAAACCCACTATAGCCTTGATTATAAACAGAAGTCCCCATGTATAAGGAATTTGAGTTTAAAGGATGTATAGAAGAGTCATCATAGTGTTGACAAAACTGGGAAAGTTTTTAATCGGGCTGGGGGAATAAGAGATGTAGGCATTGCAAAAAGTGCTGCAATACCAATGGTGGTATTTTTTAACTTCTTGAACAAGTAGAAAGCCCAGAGTCTTGATTGCCCTATGCTAAGTTAGTGCTTTTTGGCAGGTACCTAGACAACTTTCATGCGGAAAGATGCAATCCTTTTTAGGTCACATACTTAAATAATTTGAAAATCAACATAGCAACCATGAATATTGTTCATTTTGTGTTCCTTACAGTTGGTAGAGATGCTGGATATGTCCGTTCCTGCAGTTGCAAAGCTAAGACGTCTTTTGGACAATCTGCCTAGAGAAGCTTTGCCAGATATATTGACTTCCATCATCCGTACATCCAACCAAGAGAAGCTTCAGGTATTCTATTCTTAAACTTTTTTAAGGGGAATTAGGTGTTTGTATTACAACAGAGCATGAATACTTGTAAAAAGTAATTATGCTATTATTTGAAGTGTGTTTATGTATATATATATATATATGTTTATATACATATATGCGCCAGAACTCACCTAATAGGTAAATGAATCTTACTTAGCATTGGCAACCATTCATTTTATTGAACAGTAGGAAATACAACATGGACTTCCTGTTCTGGTGGTAAAGATGATAAATCCTTCTTTGAATTGTGTGGAAATCTTGCTTACTTACAGTTGATAGATCATTATACATCTCTTAATACCAGCAGCTTCAGAATCAGTTTTTTTTTTAATCTTTTTAAAAACATCTGGAAATGTGGGGGTTTTTAAACACTGGTTAAATTTGCATTGAATGTCAAAATAACTTTACACAAAAGTTATGCTTATTACTTTGTGCTTACTAGTCTGATTTCTATATTTGCTTGCTGTGTTCTGAAGTTTTGTTGTTCCCTTTCTTTTGTCACTGCCAGTGCTGCATGTTCAACCTTGAATTGAAAGCATAAGTTAGGTTCTTTCAGAGCTGTTCTTTCAAACAACAAATAGAAATTCCTTCAGTAATTTGAAGTGAAGGTGTGTACGGTAGCTGAATATCCTGCTGGAGGAACGTACGTTAGTCATTAAATTTGCTATGTCCTTTCTTTTATTGGAATTGATGAAGAAAAGAGCAGCTAGTGGAAGCTGTGGAGATACAGAAGAGCCAAATTCTACCCATTTCCGCATATCATCATTGTTAAACATGAAAATGGAATAGTGTATAAAATGTTAAAAAAGACAAACAAAAGAAACAGAAAACCTTTAAGGCATGAGGTGATTTTTCTTCTGGGTTAACCAAGGAGATTATGCTGTAACTTTCTTATGAGGGCTAGCTGTTTTCTGAGACTCGGTAATTGAAAAATAGAATGCTGATAGATGTTTGCCACAGAAAATGTGGCTGAAATAATAAGATGCTTTAAAAACAGACAGGATAAAAGACTTTTTTTCTATTTTGGAGTGCTTTGTAGTTTTGGCGTCTAGGCCCTTGAGGCTAGATTTTGTGGTCTGTATTCTCATTGCTTTTCTTGCTACCTTTTCTCCTAAACCATCTGTTCTGTATTTCTGGTCAAAAGACAGTAACAGTACCCTCCGTGTTCCCTTCCACCAAACTGATGATCCGTCAGCATGAACTTTTTGGCTACTTACAACTCCTTGCTCTTAGATTTTAGATGCTGTTAGGCTGGAAGAACGGTTCAAGATGACAATACCATTGCTTGTTAGACAGATTGAAGGCCTGAAGCTGCTTCAGAAAACAAGAAAGCCCAAACAGGATGATGATAAAAGGGTATGGACCTTTAAACGTGGGATGCTTAAACATCCTAAATAAGTATAAAGATGCACTTTTAAACAGGCTAATGAATGTGCATGATTTTAATTTGTGCAAAGTTTTAATGTAGAGCCATAATGTTTCATGGTCAGTCTGGAGCTGCAGAGAACACCCAGCTGGCAACTTTGGCTGTTTAGATACCTACAAAAGAAAATACTC